TGTGGCGATTTTTAGTGATATATTTATAAGTAAACAAAACATGAGATATTAAGTACTCCTCCTATTTCTTTACCACTCTTTTTCCAACTTTCGCTCCCCAGTTACAATTGTCTCTCTCTTCCTTTGTGTCCCATAGCTTTTCTTGTTCCTTGTTGAGACTTGTTATCTCACTAAAAACAAACTTGAAAATTGACAATTTCACAGACTAGCTTAACCAATCCATACAATAAACTGCATGGGAATCAATGACAATCAAGGAAATAAACCGCCCTACTCATGAACTACCCAATAAAATCAAACAAAAAATTATTGAGAAACGAATATTAAGACGTATATGGCAGCTGATGAGAGCACCACAAGACAAGATTAATGTTTTACTACATTACCTTGTAAAACATCACGATGAGTATACCAGGCTTTATCCAACTATGGCCTGGAGTCCCTCAAGGCAGTGTTCTCGGACCAGTGCTATACCTGATATTCACTGCGGACTTACCTACATCACCAGAAGTCACAACAGCAACTTATACAGATGACACAGCAGTTACCTCTACTCATGAAGACCCAGCCGTAACATCACACAGAGTACAGGCTAACCTAAATGCAATACAAACTTGGTTAAAAATGTGGCGTCTATGAGCCAACGAGACAAAATGTGCGGAGGTAACATTTACAAATCGCAAGGGAAACTGCTCTCTGATATCGCTAAAGCCATCAACCTCTGCAACAGAAAGACAACATAAAATACTTGGGAATGTGAATCGACAACAAAATTTTAACATATAAAGTTATTTTAAAATACGTTTGGAGTTATGGAATTCAGCTATGGGGTACCGCAGCTAGATCCAGTATTAACATTCTTGAAAGATTCCAATCGAAAGTCTTCCGAATAATGACTAATGCTTCATGGTACGTTCCAAACAAAACGATCGCACGAGACCTCTAAATTTCATGGATCGTTGATGACTGGTAAAGGGTCATATTTAGTGACGAATCGAAATTTGATGTTTGTGTGGGAGACTTTCGAAAACAACTCACCAGAAGAAAAAATAAAGCATTCCATAATGATTGCCGCAAAAGAACTGTGAAGTTTCCCAAAGTAATTACGATTTGGAGAGTATATCATCTGCGCGTCTATCAAGATAAGGTGGTGGAAGACACAATTAACGCAGCAAATTATCAAGAAATTTTAAAAAATAATCTTGTACCAAGATCTCTACCTGTTCTGGAACCCTGTGTCATGTTGCTTGCAACATGTAGAAACGGATATTTCATTGCGACTTTCATTACTACATCTCATTATTTTGGTACTCTGTGCCAGTATCGCTTTTGCTTCAGATATTTTCGAGATCTTATTGTTCACTCCAAAAACATTCATTGTTATTTGTGTTTCTAATATTGGCAATAGTTAAGGTAGATATACAGATTCAAGATTCCCTTTGTAAAAGCATATTGTTATTGGTTACTCGTTTTTTATTAAAAAATTATATATAATTACAATGCAACATTTTTAATTTTAGACTTTATAATTTTAGTGTGATTTTTCGTCTTGGTGTTACTAAGTATTTTGCATTTTATTTATTTTAAAAGTAGTTTATTTAGTAGGTAAGGTATACTGAGTGATAATGTTGCCTGTGAACAATATGAACGTATTAGTTTTTGAGGATGAGGAGGAGGAGGAGGAGGAGGAGACGCTAAGATGATTAAGAAACTTTAACTATAATAGGCGTTTACTTAGAGATGAAAGTAATCCTTTCAATGAACTAACAGATTTTCAGTTTAAAGGATTGTATCGGTTGCAGGTTGCAGTGTCTCAACAAATAATGTCTATGGCAATTTTTGAAATAATTGAAGCCATTATTGAGACATTTGCCAATAAAATCAAATTTCCTAACTCCATTGAAGTGAAAAATATCAAAAAAATAAAATTTATACGGTTATAAGATATAAGACACGATGCCACAGCTACAAATAAGTTGATACCAAACGACAATTGACACCTTGAAATGGAAGACGGAGTACGACACGTATCGTTTTTTGGCGACTATTGATATCTACATAACACAGGGTTTACCCGCTGGACATGAATTTTATTAGCTGGACTTTAGCCTTCGAAAAGTCCAGACCTTAATATTATTGAGACATAAGCCAGAAAGAATTATTGCAGCGGTTGTAAATTCGCCTCGCGATGTAACCCCATACTAAAATAGTCATTTTTTGAATTGTCCGAACATTTAGTTGTCACCATATTATGCAATATGTTCGTTTATTTTACCGCCAATACTGCAATTCAAAGTTTATAGTGACCAAGCCATTTCAATTATTTTAATGATAGAGTTTAATGAATTGTTGATCTTGTTCTGTAAATCAATTAGCAAGGTTGTGAAGATACACGTTTCCAATAGATTTTAGTTTGTCCTAACATTTAGTTGTCAGGGCTAATAGATAATTGATGTCACTTTCGTGTGTTTTAAAAAGAGTATAGCTTTAAAAAATATTTTATTTGATTAATTTCTACGTACATTAAATAAAAATTGTAGTTTCTAATTATTATTAATGTCTTATCTGACTGCTTTTCCCAATAATGTAATTTTACTTATGTGAATTCTGCAATGTAGTACTGGTATATAGATACATTTTTTTAAGTTTTTTAACGAATCTTTAATGCTCCATTCTATTAAGATAGTACAGGGAAGCTTATATTCTCTCTTGCATAGTACCGTTAAATATTAATGTGTCTTTTTCTCCAGTTCACTTACAATCGTATTGAAAATGCCATACTGTTTGTCAAGTAAAACAAATTATGAAACAGGGAGCGGTGGTTTTTAATATTATTTAATTTAATTCGATTCGATTATTTAGTTTATTTTATTAAGAAATACTTCTGGGACCACGTAGTGTGTGGTCACACGATCATGCGAACTAAAAAATTGTTTATTTAACCCTTTCATTACTTTGGGGAATATATTTCCCAGTGGATTCAAAAAATCTGCTGGCATCTGTTTGTCCCCAAAGCCCATGTAATTTGAATGCATCCGTATTTTAAAACACTTATTGTCTAATAGTATGCAACCTACATATCACGTCTGTAACCTATAAATTGATGTTAACTAAACACGTGCATCAACAACTCGTAAATAATACAATTTTAGTAAAAAAAAGTGGCTAATACAGGTGTGATTAATACATGTTAGTGATGTATATTGTTTTCATCGATTTTACCATAATTTATAAACGGGACTCTAGTGTCCCAGTAGTACTTTATACCTGGTCGTATTTATTCCAATCGTATTGTTTCGTTGCAGACTTACCATGACACGTAGACGTTTTCTATCACAAAATGAGCTTCAAGAAGAAATTAAAAACCTCTCAAATATTTCTGAAAATGAATCGGAGGAAAAATCTTTGTCTGCTTCAGAGTCTGATTATGTACCTTGTGACGATTCTGCCTCAGATTCTGATTAAGTACCTGAGAATACTCCTGACAGTGTGGATGTAAACATCACTGGTTCCGACAAAGAAAGTCCTGATAACGCGGAAATATATGAAGATCAGTCTGAAAGTAATGAATTGACTGCACAATGAAATATAGAAATACAAACTTTTGCCCGAAAAAAGAAATTTCTACCCAAAGAAATTTGATAATACTACATATTGATAAAGATTCTCGACCTGTTGATATTTTTCTAAAATTATTTCGGCGTAATTTATTTATGCATATTGCTTCCCGTACAAACCAAAGAATAGCAGCACGTCCAAAAAACAGGAATATTAAATCAAGCACGAAAAAAACATATATGTACGAAATGATGACAGTGGTTACACACTACTAGTCACAAAACGAATCACTTTCGAATTCCTTGATAAAAAGAGCTATTTCAAGAGATCGCTGTTTATTCCTGGTATTTAAGTCCTACTATAATAATCCTGAAAGAAATTGTAATACATCAAAAACATCTACATCGATGAAGTGCTTTCTTGTTTGAAACAAACTTTTGTAAAAGCAAGGACTGAGAGTTCCCATCAGCCCATCGACGAATCAATGACTAAGTTCAAAAGAAGATCTGCTCTAAAGTAGTATCTTCCTATGAAGCCAGTAAAAAGAGGTACAAAATGTGGCAACGAAGTGTTTCTTTCCAGGATATAAATATACCTATACAATTTCAATATTTATTCGGCAAAAGAATCTAGAAGCAATTACTTTTACAATAATTTTATGGGAGGAGTAGATCTTGCCGATCAAAACGTTAGCACATATGATATGGACCGAAAATCTGAGAAATAGTGGAGAATAGATTTGCATAAAAGAAGTGTACAACAAGATAATACAAACTTTTCGCTTTTCTGGTGCCCCTAGCAGAACAACTAATTGAATTAGGAAGATTGAAATCAAATGTAAAAAGACTAATAACTTCCGTTCTGGAAGAATATCTAAACGACAAAAACAGATGATCAACGTTGAAGGCCATTTGCCACAACAAATACCTCGTAGGTGTAGGTGAATTCTACAAATAACCAAAAGTTGCTTTAGATGTTCACAAAATAAATCAGAAACTCGAACTATGACTATTTGTACATTGTGCAATGTGCATTTATGCGAAGAATGTTTTTTTGTGTAATGTAAGAAAGTAATGTTTGTTTTTGGTAATAGACTTTTTAATTTGGATTTAAGTTTGTTTCTTTACTGATGGAATTTATCCTACTATTCAACACTAATGGGACATATATCGTTTCTAAGTACAAGACACGCAACAATGTAAAAAAATCAATTGCTTTGTTAGGTCTATAAGTATCAACGAATATCACTAAAGTCATTTTAAACAGTTTTATTTAGCTACAATGAAATCAATAATGAAAGGGTTAATAGAAAGATAAAATAATATTTAAAAAGCATGTTTGATTCTAATATTTCATGTTCGTATCTAATAAAGGAGCTGAGAGTTTTTTTTTTTGAAAATATGCATTTTTATAGCTTTCTAATATGTACTAGGACACTAAATATAACTTATAAGGTTTTATAAATGAAAATTTATAATTAATTCATATGTAAAAACAAAGATATTTACTTATCACTAAAAATATTCTGCTATTGTCTGATGCATTAAATATTTCTCTTGAACAATCAATCTAAACGTTTTACTCTTACTAGAGATTAGAACATTCTAAATTTTATTTTGATGCTGTGAAACATTGACATGAGTCAAAGTCTAAAATCAATTTCAAACAGCAACATCAAAGTAATGTCAAAGCCGCATTTGATGCCTGATAATATCGATTGCAAATTTCCTTTACAAAAACGACACTTTAATAGAAAAAGTACGCTTCCACTTCTTAAAACTTACCTCTAAAGAGTTTAGATGCCAATTAGTCCGTAAATAAAAGATGTATATAGAAAAAGTGTAGTCTTACTTTGTGGATATTAAATATATTCTAGTTGCTAATATCAAAGTCTAAAATAAATATACCAATAAAGCATCTTCGTTCAAGCTCTGCGTCATTACAAAATGGAAAAGATACAAAAATGAGCGCAGTGAGACATAAAAATAAGTTATCGCCTCACGTTATCACACCAATAGTAAGCAAACTCTATCAAGAAATGTGCTTAACCCTTATGACAGCTATATAAATCATAGTACGAAGTCAGTAAGATGAAGTTTCTAAATTCTTCTTCTAGCGGTAAAATTTTACTTCGGTTTCCACGCAATCTTTGAATAATTCGTCTAGTTCGGAAAGATCGTCACCGACTCGTTCCATTACTTGTTCTAATTCTTCGACACATTCAGCTTCCATGCCTCTTAGTAAGTCTTGAACGTCATCTTTATTGCTGTTTTCCAAGGCAGAATGGTGCAAAAGATATAACGTATGTGGTTCCTAAAACGAATAAAGATATTAATTTACCTATTATGTTTAATGAGAAGAAACTAAAATGTGAAATATTTAAAAAAAAATAAAGAAGTAATTAATATAGTTCACTTCCCGTCATATAAAACTGGTACACTTTTTTCCCAATGTAAACCAGTGTTCAGACTGGATACAATGGTTCATGAATCAATTCGTTATTGCCATCACAGATAACGGAATTGCACTAAATCTAAATAAAAAAAATAACGTTCAAAAATGTATAAAGTGTTTAGATAGACATTATCTTTATCATTAACAACAAAAAACGGTATCTAATAAATTTAATAACCAGAGCGACGGTTGAGTTAATGGCCAAAATGTTTGAAGAATTTTTTAATAATGGAGATATGTCAAAATATATTTCAACAGTTTCGAATTGTAATACATATATTTAAATTCCAAACTTGTTCACTGTAAAAGTTATTTATTTAATTATTAAAAATTTAATTTTTCCAGTGTGTTTTGTTTATTCTAGTATGCCACAACTCAATTCAGTTTTGTGCTACACTTTACGAGAAACGAATGACATCTCTCGATTTGAAATTAAACATAATAATTTAAAGTCATGTCAAGATATTTTATCTAACATTATTTTTGAATTGAAATATTTTCATAAATTATAATAAAACACGATTCAAGCCCTACTTTTAGCCGGTTTGATATAATATATTGGTTATTCTGGCAACGTTGCCCTAAAAATAAGAATGATATTTGTGACAAGAGCAACTTACACAGCTTGAAAAACACAATTTTCGGTTATTATAAGAGTTGTACCAGTTTTTTATGCCGCGAACATATTTTCAGAATCATATCAAGAATTCAATTTATTCAAGAAACAAATTAACTATTATAATTATTAGTTATACGAAAAAAATGTTAACATGATATTAACGACGAATAAACAAAAAAACTATAAAGACTCCAGTTACATTATCTTTAACCATTTCAATACGGTTATCGTACAAGTATGATTTTCATTTGCAACTTTGATGAACGAGCGTCGTACTGTTACGCAAATTAATCTAGTTCATGTACTGCCACCGAACATTTTAAAGTATTTGTATCGTTGAAGAGCTATTCGCTCCGTGCGTGACTGATGCGACACCTACCGCCTTCATCTGACAATTTTGGAGTCCCAATTTTCAGGTTAAATATATGACATATGTTTGACATTGTTAAATACATGCGAAATTGACAATTATTAATAAATTAGTTTTTTAACTATATTTTTTCAGTTTATGTACAAAATAAATGTAGTATTAAAAACTGAGTTTCTCAAAATTCATCATAATATATCTTTTTAACTCCAAACGGAAAAGAAAGCGAAAAATCTAGTACTGGCAAATCAAGTTTTTCACGCAAAAGAGCATATAATTAAAAACAATAATAGTAAAAGTTATGATATAAAAGCTAAAGTTATCTGCAGTTAGCTTGAAGCCTTATGAAATATCATTCAAGGTAAATTATTTAAATTGTTCCTATTTCAATTGCATAAAAATGAAATTATGTGATATTTACTTTTTCATATTAATAGCACGAATTCATCTTTTTCTTTTCTCTAATTTATATGTAATCTTTGGGAACCTATAAAAACTACACTCACTGTTTTTGCTATTATTAGCAGAATTAAATACGCAACATGTATTTGCACACATTTTTGATAAAACTTATGCGTAAAAATATTTTGTCCAATATTCCAATTTTGTCATATTTCGCCGCTACGCACGCTGGCATCGTTTCAATGTACCCCTACCATGGTCCGCACGGAGCGAATAAACTAAAGAGCTATAGTATTTTTATTCTGGTCCCTAGCATTTCCTATATAAGTAATGGTAAAAAGTCGAGAATAATTCGAAATATATTTTGAATAATTCGAAATTCTCTACAAGCTAAAATGCCAATTTCATGCTGGAAATTTTCGCGAAAAGAGGTAGTATTCTTACCACGCACCACTTGTTTCAAGGCATTCAAGACCATTGTACATTGTACCCGTATCTGGCACCTAAATTGTCCCCCACCCGGCACGCCCCTTCAGAAAACTTCGAACATACAAAACTTTGACGTTGTCGAAAAAAAAAATAGCGGCAATTAAAGAAGTAGAAAAGGGGACGAAGAAAAAATATGAGACTGCCAAGGAATTTGGAATTCCACCTAACACATTATAATTCACACCTAGGTACTATTTCAACTAGATGGATATACCTACTTGAAGAATAAAGAAAAAAATCTTAAGAGTGAAAGTGAGTGCGGTAAAGAACGAAAAAGGTTAAGGGTGCCAGAAAGTCCAAATGTGTTTTAAAATGGTTCGAACAAGCCACGGATAAGAAGATTCCCGTGAGTGGTCGCCTTATAAAAAGCAAAGCTGAACAATTTGTTGTTGAAGTGGAAAAAAACAACTTGGAGAGTACAGGGTGGCTAGACGGCTTTAAAGAACGCAACAAAATTCCATTTAAATCCATTTGTGGAGAAAGTGGGACCGTTAATCAACAAGAAACCAACGAATGGAAAAAATTGGAGATGATTCAGAACATAGATGATAGAGAAATCTTCAATGTTGACGAGACGGATCTTTCTATAAAAGCACCCCTTCCAAAACACTGGCATTTAAAAATGAAAAATGCCACGGAGGAAAACTAAGCAAAGAAAAAGTCACTCTCCTAATTGGTGCAAACATGGACGGATCAGAAGTGCTGCCTCTACTGATGATTGGCAAGTCGGCTAGTCCGCGTTATTTTAAGAACGTTAAGTCAAAACCAGTGGACATTGTGAGCAGTGCAAGAGCTTGGATGACTAGTGATGTTTTCGTGCAATGGCTGAAGAAATTAGACAAAACAAAGTTCATAAAAGAAAAGTTAGTTTGTTTATTGACAACTGTACGGCCTATAATACTATCCCACTAATGGAAAATGTAAAAATTATTTTTTTCCTGGCAAACATGACTTCAGTTCTCCAGCCTATGAACCAGGGTATTATAAAAAAATCTTAAATTTGACCAGACGTTTTTTGGTTGAAAACATATTGACGGAAGATTAAAAGAAAGCTTGGGAGAAAGTAACACCCGAAACGATCAAACACTGTTTCGCAAAAAAAGAGGAAAACGCAGAAAACGCTTTAACGACACTTTAACAGTAGAGCCGCTTTCGGTTAACGGCTGGAAGGACGTCACTTCTGATCATGCCTTCTCTTATGAAGATTTTATCAACGTGGATGAAGATGTTGCAGTGCAGCCGAAGCAAAGAACCCTATTACACAACTTAGACGGTACTTAGAAAGTAAAAATGACTAAGCCACTTTATTTTTTGTTCACCTTGGAATATCTTATATCTTTTGTCATTGCGATAACCTAAATTCAAAAACGCAGATAAAAATTTCGGATTTCTTTGAAAAAAGTTAAAGTCCGTCTTTTTTAGCTAATTGTAACAAATGTTCGTATTTTCAATAAATTTTTTGAGACAAAATGTTTTTGTTGTTTTAATGACGCGTTCCCACTGAACGATTTTTAAATTTTTATTGGCCAAGATTTCGCCAAAAGTACCAATAAGAACACATGCCATAATGACAGTAATTGACCATTTTTTATAGCTTACAAATATTTTAATTGGTATTCTTGGCCGAATTTTAGTTGCCCATTTTTCTCAGTTGATAAAATTCGGATAAGAATAGACACGAAAACATCTGCAAAAGTGTTGATTTTTATCGTTTGCAGATGGTTTTGTAGATATCACTGTTTTTGTAGATTTTTAATTATACAGTACATATACAGCAGTATATCACCCACCCTAGGCGCCGTAGTTATTTATGAATATTGGTTTTTTAAGTTTTTTTTTTGTAATAAGGAACAGAAAAGCAATACATTGTAAGTAATAACTGAACATTTATTCAAAAATTTAACTTAATTGTTATTGTAACGAAGTGTATCAGAAAAGTAATGTAATATACTGATGGCCAAAAAAATGCAACAGCTAGAAGGACAAATATTTTTATAAACATTTATTTATAGAAGTCATCATCATTGGTGCTACAGCCCTATACAAGAGCCTCGACCTTCCCAAGTCTATTACGCCAGTCAGTTCTATCCATTGTCAACTGTTGCCAGTTTGCTGCATCTATTTTTCTACCATTTTCATCTACACCATCCCTCCATCTGAGTTTTGGCCTAATCATACTTCTACTTCCCACAGGTTGTGACATAAGGATTCTTCTAGGAGGGTTGTTCTGCTGTGATCTTGCCAAATGTTCTGCCCATCTTAGTCTTCCTATTTTTATAAGAGATACTACGTCTTTACCACCAAATATATGTTTATATCTGTGATACATCTCATAGTTGTACCTCCTTCTCCAAACACCATTTTCACAGATGCCACCGAATATTCTTCTCAGGATCCTTCGTTCAAATATAAGCAGGAGGTTTTCATCTGTCATGGAAATGGTCCCTGTCTCCGATCCATATGTCAACACTGGTTGTATAAGGGTTTTGTATATGGTTATTTTTGTTTTTTGGCTTAAGTTTCTGCTTGTCATATGTCTACTCAATCCAAAATAGCATTTGTCTGCTAGGATTATTCTTACCTTGATTTCTTCCGTCATAACGTTCTCCTTGGTGATCAGGGAGCCTAAGTATGTGAATTTGTCCACCACTTCAAAGGTAGAGTTATCAACAGTGAATTGGTGGCTGATCTTTCTGGCTCTATTGTTGGATGTGATGCCATAATCTTAGTTTTCTCCTCATTTACTTGCAGGCCCATATTTTTTTAGGCATTTGACAAGGTGGTATACATTTCTTCTAGTTTGTGTGTTGTGCGGGCAACTAGGTCAACATCATCTGCAATGCCAAAATTTGGGATGAGTTATTAAAAATGTTTCCTCTGTTGTCTATTTGGGCATCCCTGACCGCTTTTTCCAGAGCTATGTTGAAAAGGAGACACGCCAGCGCATCTCCCTCTCGCAGCCCAACATGCGTTTCAAATGCC